AAAACTGTGGAGATGATCGTGGACTTCAGGAGAAAACCCCTGCACTCCCCCCACTTACCATCATGAACAGCACTGTTGCTGCAGTGGAGTCATTCAGGTTCCTGGGCACCACCATCTCTCAGGACCTGAAGTGGGACACTCGCACAGACTCCATTGCAAAAAAGGCCCAGCAGAGGTTGTACTTCCTTTGCCAGCTGAGGAAATTCAACCTGCCACAGGAGCTGCTCAAACAGTTCTACTCTGCTATCATTGAGTCGGTCCTGTGTTCATCCATTACTGTCTGGTTTGGTTCAGCAGCCAAATCAGACATCAAGAGACTACAATGGCGAGTCAGGACTGCTGAGAGGATTATTGATGCCCCTCTGCCCAGCCTCCAAGATCTTTACATCTCCAGAGTGAGGAAAAGGGCTATAAAAATCACCTTGGACCCCTCACACCCAGCCCACTCGCTCTTCGAACTGTTGCCTTCTGGTCGGCGCTACAGAGCACTGACCACCAGAACAGCCAGACATAAGAGCAATTTTTTACCGCAGGCTATATTCAGCCTGAACAATTAATCCTTCATAATTACACATCGTCCATCACAACTAACATAGTTATCTGACATATTTATATTCACTTTGTAAATAACATATCTATCTGCACACTAATAAACATATCTGTACATTTATCTAAACAATTAAATTTTTTCCTATACTTCTATTTCTGTATATAGTACGATTCTGATTCTGATTCACACACTCGTGCCTGTTGTATAAATGCAATATCACACTCTGAGTCATGAGATATGGCTGTGTATCGGCACGCTGTGATTACCTACGGCCGAATCACAGCCATGCCGATATACAGCCATACCTCACTCCTACTCGTGTGATATTGCTCATATAAACACTACCAGTCAAAAGTTTTTGAACAGTAAGACTTAAAACTTTTTTTTAAGAAGTCTCTTCTGCTCATCAAGCCTGCATTTATTAGATCCAAAATGCAGCAAAAGCAGTAATATTGTGAAATATTTTTTACTATTTAAAATAATTGCTTTCTATTTGAATATATTTTAAAATGTAATTGATTGCTGTGATCAAAGCTGAATTTTTAGAATCATTACTCCAGTCTTAAGTGTCACATGATCCTTTAGAAATCCTTCTAATATGCTGATTTGCTGCTCAATTTTGTATTATTATTATTATCATCAATATTTAAATCAGTTGAGTACATTTTTATTTTCAGGATTCTTTGATAAATAGAAAGGTCTAAAGATCAGCATTTATCTGAAATAAAAAACTTTTGTAACATTATACACTATACCATTCAAAAGTTTGGAGTTAGTATAATTTTCATTTTTTTTGGATTAATTTGATCAAAAGTGATGATAACGACATTTATGATGTTACGAACAATTTCTATTTCAGATAAATGCTCTTCTGCCTTATCCTTTGGGGGTCAAGGCTCACTCCTCTAGAAGTTGGCCTTCGGGACGGCGGGCCCCGCCTTCTCTTGCCACTCCTGGCTCCCCTTTCTCTCACCTTAGTTGTGCTCTTCCACACTTTGCTCTTCTCGTTCCCAAAGTGCTTCGACGCAGCTTGAGTTCCTGAAGAGGAACGTCTCAGGTTACGTATGTAACCATGGTTCCTCGAGGGAACGAGACTCTGCGTCTCGATGCCATACTTCCAGCATCCCTGCCAGCGCTTGCTTCATTCCTGGAAGCTGATGCCGGCTCCACCGCACGTGCTTTTAAGTTTCCTGGTCGATGACGTCACCCGACTATGACGTCTCGCCCTTTCCATTGGACTGATTACACATGTAATTCAGAGCATGGTCACGCAGAGGGCGTTCCCAAAGCGCTTTGACACAGCGTCTCGTTCCCTCGAGGAACCATGATTACATACGTAACCTGAGACGTTTCATCTGGTCTTGTTGAGATATATAGTTGAGTTTCATCAGCATAACAATGGAAAGTAATCCCGTATTTTCTAATAATATTACCGAGGGGCAACATGTATATTGAAAATAGCAGAGGGCCTAGGACAGATCCTTGTGGCATATCACACATATCAATAAAACATATATCTTGAATGCACCGTAAGATATTTTTGTATAAAAGCACCTGGCAGATGCATAAAATCAAACACACATAGTCAGGAGCCACAGAAATTTGCAGGATGAACATACAGTAAATGTCAAAAGTCAAAGCAGTGGCCATTCATCTATCCTTCATCATCTCTTTAAAACAGCCTTGATCAAATGCACCTCCACTCGCTGAATATAAAGTGCTGCACAGTCCTCAGAAACTAAAACACCAACCACCTGTAGCTAATATTAACCCACTGGCATTGTAAAGAACCTGAAATAAACCTTTAGATCAGTGCTATTAGAGGATGCTGTATTCTCTCTTGAGATTCAGGAAGAAAATTACTAAATCTTCCAAAAACCTGAACATTAAGATGAACCAGTCAGCAGAGCACACATACACACACACACACACACACACAAACAAACAAATAAAGATGAATTCCATGATTAACATTTAAATGCATGACAAAAAACACTGACACTGGAACACAGAAGAACACAAAACGCCGAAGAGGGCCAGAGCTACAGAATGTGAATAATGAAAATTATTTATTGACTGTGAACATTTGAATTGAAAAGTAATTTCACTGATACACATAAAAAGTACAGAAACACGTCTGATCTTAATGTTTATGAGGATTTATTACACACATTTACTCTTACATGTTATTTCAGTGACAGAAGTTCAGCTGCAGTGTTAATGTCATGAAGATAAAAGAAGAGAGTCTCCAACATCTCACTATCACTGATTATCATGGAGCTCAAAGCATTATGGGTAGAATAATGCAGTTCTATTCTGATTCATCAACAGTTCCACTCTTGATCCCCTAGAAACCAAAAACCCAGGATAGAGCGGCTGAGTGAATGTGGTCTGGACTGTGTGGATGAGGCTCATTGTGTCAGAGACGCTGTAGAAGGACAGAGTTCCTGCACTGTGATCCAATTCCCTTCCTATTCTACTGCTGATGGACTCTACAGGGAGATCAGTCACCACGTTATTGTGTCTGAATAAGTATCTGGAGGGATTGCATTGCAAACTCCAGGACTGATCATTATTTCCAAACAAACACGCCTTACTCTGTCCCTTCCTGCTGATGCTCTTATATGACACTGATGTACGCACACCAGGTTCACCTCCACTCCACTCCAGCTCCCAGTAACAGCGTCCACACACACTCTCGCTACACAACACCTGAGACCAAAAATCAAATCTGCCTGGATGATCAGGATACGGCTGATCTGTATTAGTGCCAGTAATCACTCTGTTGCTCTCAGACAGACGGAGACGTTTATGTGCTGTGTTTGTATCCAGAGTGAGCTGATGGGAATCTAATGGAGATAAAACACATCAGAATCAGGAATTATGAATCTGTTTGATCTTTTCATGTATATTAACTCTTCATTTTCAGTGTATCATCAGTCTCCAGATATCCTGTACAAATCATATTTTACATAATCAATTATAAAACTCTTCTTTCACCTTCTACAGGAAGAACATGAACACACTCAGTGAGTTTTTCTGCTTGTTTTCTTACTGACTTACATTGTAGGAAATTGTTCTTGGTCCTGGAAACAATGTTGAATGTGACTGTGGAAATCAACAGACATAAACAGTGTGATTCTCATGATCCTGCATCCATTCCTAAGATATTTCTAATATGATGTTCTCTATGATATGAGATGATGATGGACTGGTTTCTGAGAGCAGATGCATCTCCAGGACTATACCTCTGTCTGAGATCTTCTTGAGCTCCTCTTTGCAGAAATCCTCCAGTTTGTCTATCAGCTGATGAACAGATTCTCTCAGGCCATTAGAAGAGAAGAGAGAATCGTCATTTATGTCTGTTGATGCAGGAAGTGCTGAGAGAGTCTGGAATCTCTACAGAAAACATAAATCAACACTCATTAGCACCACACTTCACCCAATAACCTGCAGGAACATCAGATTTGTGCAGCTCTTGTTGACTTGACTGATCTTTAGTAACTCACCTCAATCCAGCACTTTCACAGCATCAGCTACATTCTTCTCATATTCATTATAGATCTACAGATTCTAGTGTTTTCCACACTATATGTGAACTTTCTAGGAAATAGTTTGGATAACACATCTGCTAAGAATGTAAATGTCCATCTAACAGCTCAGGCACATCAATGGAGTCTCATTGTAGGGTTGAGTAGATTTGCTCAAAAAAGCAGCTTAAAGGCTATGATTAGATTGACCATTATTTATAACTTTAGAGCAGTTAGTGACACTGAAACTTCGAAAACAATAATGCTGTCTATTGGCAATCAGTCTCATCAGGATTTCAGACAAAAATACAAGGTTCCGTAAATAATGCCGTGTTTGATTTTGCATTAAATTCTGCAATCGCAGAATTGTGAAATCCTGGACTGACTGAATAATGCTTTAGCGCATTGAAACCAAAAAGAAGCTGACTGGGTCTTAAAGGCATAGTTCACCCAAAAGTGAATATTTTCTGTTAATTTACTCACCCACAGGGCATTCAAGATATAGGTGACTTTTTTTCTTCAGTTGAACAGAAAAGAACATTTCTTTTAGCTGAAACCACGGTCCTTGGAGATTCATAAAATGCAAGTCAGCGGCTACCTGTCTTTGCGAATAAAAAAAAACATATCAAGAAACACAAAATTAATACCTGTGAACTTCAGTTCCTCCAAAAGTCAGTGAAATGAGGAAACAGTTTGATTTGGAACGAAGACCGATGAGCCGATGATATGCGCATGCGTGAACCGAACACTTGAATGAAGGGAACAAATGAATGTTTTAATGGTTTGTCATTATTTATATAAAAAAGTGAGAGACTAGTTTATTCACTTTATATGCTTTAGACATGTAAAATATCCACGTTTCCCATCATTGTTGGGTGCTTTAATATTCTAATTATGTATACATTATGTCATTGCGTGATTATGTAAATTAACTAGTGAACTGAACCAGTTCATTGAAAATGACTGTCTGAAAGAATTGGATTTTCACGTTGCATGAGGGTCTGGATTACCAGTAATAACGTTGCAAATGATGTTCAGTTTCTTGTACAGACAGACTGTTTCACTTCATAAGACATCAATATATTGTCAGGAACCATGGGTATTCATTTTGTGTTTCCTGATTTGCTTTATTTTTATTCTCAAAAACGTGCAGCTGCTGACTTGCATTATATCTGTCATGATCTCTAGCTGGTGTGCCCATGAGGGCACTCCATCCCTTACCTTCACCTTCTCACCCCATCCTTACACCGTTGTCATGCTGCCCATAACAGAAAACTCAGCCATACCCAGATCCAGTGACTTTTTGAGTGTTTCCAGGTCAATCATGGACCCAGCGATCAGGTTAGTTTACCTTCATCAGGGAATGCATTCTCTCAAGAACCACATTCAGGACTTTAGACATTGCATATCTCTCTGATCTCCCAGACTTTGCACTAACTCTGAGACTCTGAGCCTGCTCCAGTCCACGAATCTGCTCCAGAACCCGCTGCGGTCTGTGGGTCTGGTCCGGAGCCTGCTCCAGTCCATGAGTCTGCTCCAGCTCCTCCTGAGGTGGCAGTGTCTGCTTCAGCTCCTCTCTGGGCTGTGACGTCTACTTCTGAACTCTCAGCCTAACCACTAAAGTGGTCCTCAGTGCCATCATCTCCACCCTAGTGGTCATCAGCTCCACCGTGGGGATCTTCGGTCCCGTCTGCTCAGCTGTGGTGGTCCTCAGCTCTGCCCTGGTGCTCTTCAGCTCCACCAGCACTGCCCTTTTGGTCTTCAGCTCCGCTCTGGTGGTCTGCTGCTCAGCCTGCTTTGTCGGCTCTGCCCTGGTTTCCTACTCCGCCGGCTCTGCCTCAGTCTCCAGGTCCTCCACCTCCACAGCGACCTGGCCCTCCATCCCTCTCCCCTTTTCCGCCTCCGCTCTGCCTCACTCCTGAACTTCTATGACACTTTGGGGAGCGTCTGGAAGCCACTCCTTAAGGGGCTCTGTCATGATCTCCAGCTGGAGTGCCCATGAGCTCCTCTAGAGGGCACTCCTCTAGAGGGGACTTCATTTCCCAGAAAACCCAGCCTTTGAACTAATTACAGACACATCTGTTTCCCATTAGGAGGACTATTTAAGTTGCACTCTCACACTCACACATTTATGAGTCTTGTTTAACTGTTTGAGGACATTTCTAAGCGTTTCCTTGTTTCCTTGCCTTCGTGTTTTTGTCTTTGGGTTGTTCCCTGGTTTGTGATAATTTGCTGCCTGCCTTGACCGATGCCTGTTATTTGGATTATTCTTTTATTTTGCCCTAGGACATAGATGTTTACTGGTGTTTGACCCTGCCTCTTTCAATTATGCTCTTTAAGAAAGCTTGCACTTGGATCCGCTACGCCGCCTGTAACAATATCAGTCACCACGGAACACAGTTTCAGCTAAAAACAAATAATTTGTGGCACCTTGAATTTTTGTCTGAAATTCTTTTGGGACTGATTGCTAATATACAGAATCACTTCATGTTTGGGGTCTTCATGGTCAAATTTATCATGCAGGCAAATCAAAATAAATTTTATCAGCTTTGAAGATCACCTGATCCAATTTTTAAAAAGTTGAAAAGTTAGTGAACTGTTGGTGAAGTTTAACAGCTTAATATATCTTATAATATATCCGGAAGAAAGAGCTCAGAGAAATGATTACTAACGGTGTGCTTCCACTGGCACGTAGCAAGCGCAGCGGAGCAAGATTTTTCAATTAATTCCTATGGAAGTTGAGCTTAAACGCTTGTGCGGTGCATTATGGGATTAAAAGTGGCACGGAGAAAGCGTTGAGAGCGGCCGAGAGCATCAAAAAGGTTGGGCATTCCTCGACTTTATGCAAATATTGAGCGAAAAACGGAGCGCAGATTTGACGCTGTAGTGGAAACGCACCATAAGAGATTTCCAGAGCTGAAAGCCATTTGTAAGCGGTGTCTCTCTCAAAAGAAGATGATTAAATAAGAGTCTGACTGACGATTATATAGTAAGACCCTCATAAAATGTTTCTCTGTGAGTCTCTGTCACAGCAGGATCTGACTCAAGTCCACTATGATCCTGTTCTTCTAGATCTGTGTTACCTGCAGGAACTGGATGTGATCCTGTGTGTGTGAAAGCTGCTCCAGCTCAGCGTCTCTCCTCCTCAGATCATTGATCTCCTGCTCCAGTCGCTCCAGTCGTCCTTCAGCTCGACTCACTGCAGTCTTCTCCTGATCTCTGATCAGCCGTATCAGCTCAGAGTGGCTTCTCTTAATGGAGCGGATGAGCTCAGTAAAGATCCTCTCACTGTCCTCCACTGCTGTCTGTGCAGAGCGCTGTTAGGACACACAGTGATTCAGGCTTCAGTGAGTCTGAACTGAGATGGAGACAAACTTCTCTTCTTCTCCAGACTCACCTTATGAGACTCCACAGCCTCTCTCAGCTGCTGAAGATCTTTCTCTCTCTGCTGGATTCTCTGCTGGAACGTCTTCTGCGTCTCCTTCAGCTGCTTCTGCAGGACAAACAGATGATAGTGAATCTCACAGAAAACTACTGTCACTAAATCATCATGTGAGCAGATGAATCCAGTAAACGTGGAACTGATAACTAATGACTGTAGGTTCAAACTGTAGAAGGGATGATGGATCATTTACCACCATTGTACATAAATTAATATAAAGATTCAGACCTGTTTCACACTACAAGTGTGAGTATTATAAAAAAGAAACTGACACAGATGCAAACTGAAATTGTTTCTGCATCATTAATCTGTGGCTCTACACATAAAATAAATGGACTATTGGATCACTACACTGAGTATTAACTTGATCGCTAGTTTTAAATACCTGTTTCTCTGTCCTCTGTGCTGCAGCTGATACAGTGTTGTGGTTTTTATGTTCATATTTTGTACACAGCTTACAAATGCATTGTTGATCAGTCATGCAGTACATCTCCAGATGTTTCTCATGTTTCTGGCAGATCATCTCCTGCAGTCGTCCAGTGGCATCGATCAGTTTGTGTGGCTTACGTGAATAAAATTCCTCATGATGGTCAACATGATTCTGACAGTAAGATTCCAGACACACCAGACAGGACTTGACGGCTTTGTATTTTCTTCCAGTACAGACGTCACACTGCACATCTCCAGCTCCAGCTTCACAGTCAGCAGGACGTTTCCTCTTCTTTAATTTCTTCACCATTTCAGCCAAGATGGTGTTTCTAGCTAAAGCAGGTCTTGGACTGAAGGTCTGTCTGCACTGAGGGCAGCTGTAGACTCTCATCTGATCCTCCTGATCCCAGAAGCCTGTAATACAGCTCTTACAGTAACTGTGTCCACACTGGATGCTCACTGGATCCTTCAGGAGATCCAGACCCAGTGGACACGTCAACTCATCCTGAGAAAATCTGGCTTCTGCCATTTTACTGCTTGAATACAGAGACACAAACACAACAGCTCAACTACATTTTCACTTACTTTTTCCCTTAACCCTCAAGTTGTGTTCGGGTTATTTTGACCCGGAGAGAATATTCTTTCTCCTGAAAATGTTACTTAATGTTATCGCATTGGACTAAGATTTACTGACTTTGTTCACACAAGGCATTATTACTTCCACCGCAAAAATGGTTAACTTTCGTTAAACATTTTTTGTCATTCAACCTTGTTACACTTGTGGTTTTTCAAAAAAATTGCTTATAAATCTCTTGTTATGCAATATTATCACCTAATATTGGTATCAATCTTTTTGTCAGCTTGTTTTCTTTCAATTAGAACTGGCTTTGTGTTTATTTTTGTAACTGATTCATCGTAGGCCTCATTAATCTGAGTTTACGTACATCAGTTTTTGAGTAAAAAAAGTGTTATTTGTGGATAATTTTAATCAATATTAAATAAAATATAAAAAATTGCACTGTTTATCACACTAGCATGCTCTAATGTTTAACCAAGACATTTTTTTGAAAAGCTTTTATTTTGTACAAAATTGCAAAAAAAAATCACACTTGTGGTGTTCCCGGGTCAAAAATGACCAGCCTACAAAAAAAAAGCTTATAAATCTCTTGTTATGCTATATTATTACCTAAGATTGGTATCAATCTATTTGTCAGCTTGTTTTCTTTCAATTAGGACTTTGTATTTATACAGAGGTTTTGTATTTATTTTTGAAACTGATTGATCGTAGGCCTCATTGATCTGAGCCTAGGGTTAGGTTTCTTCTCACTGTCTGTAGCATGAGGCAGTACCTGTAACCCAGTCAGGTTGCACAGGGAGTCCAGCTCCTCCAGGATGGCACATCCATACATGCCATCATGAGGAAGTGTGTTGTGTCTCCCAGCACAGGCCGTTACATGAGGAGAGCTGGGCAGGGACGTAGAAGAGCAACAATAATGCTTTTTTCACTCAAAAACTGATGTACGCAAGTTCAGATTAATGAGGCCTACGATAAATCAGTTCCAAAAATAAACACAAAACCAGTCCTAATTGAAAGAAAACAAGCTGACAAAAAGATTGATACCAATATTTGGTGATAATATTGCATAACAAGAGATTTACAGTATAAGCTATTTTTTGTGCCCCGGTCATTTTTGACCGCGAACACCACAAGTGTTATAGGGATTTGAACACAATCTGAGTCATGTGTTTCTTGTTTCTAGATGTCAGTCTCAGACAAACACTCAAAAAATGCAAGTTACAGAGAAGCAGAACAACAGCCTCAAAAAGTGCAATAATACTGCATCCTAATTACTACAGGATTACCCTGAGAAGGGGGAAAATATTAATATGAGACAAAACTCCAGTGGTGTTCTCTCTACTGAAACTTTATGCGGATTGATAAGACAAATTCATGTAAAGCACATTTCCAGAACATTGCTCAGTTTCTTTAAGGGTCCAGAATTATTACAGTTTCATATTGTACCGAGACTAGTTGTAAAAATGGTTAACAATCAACAGATAATAATCTAACTTGAAATAATCAAAACATTTCTCCTTGTAAATAAACATGCACTTTTTAAACTATTGTTCTTTATTCTATTACTTATTTTCTTGTATATACATACTCGAACATTTCTCAATATATACGTATTTGTCTCACATCTATTTCTTCTATATCATTTCCATTGTTCTCCCATTATAAACATATTTCAGGCAAAAATAAACAATATTAGAATAAAGACTCATTTACACATTAAACATCAAAGTCTAACATGTTAACATACAATTTACACGTGCATCTGATGCTTTCCTGTACACAAAATGGAGTCGCTACACTCCCTCTTACCAGTTACTGTGCATCAGTTAACTCATTCAAATCATAAAAAAGTTAAAATAGCCACTATAAACAGTGAAACATTATGCATGAACCCATTTTACACTTTATACAAAATGTTAACCCTCATACCTGAAAAGGGGAAAATATTAATATGAGACAAAACTCCAGCGGTGTTCTCTACTGAAACTTCATGCAGATTGAGAAAACCCACAAAAGTTCCCCCTAGTGTATCGTCATCCAAACCTTTGAAAACCTTAGTTTGACTTATAGATCACAGATCCACAAGAAACCATGTAAACTAACTTTCCATTTACATTATTTGAACAAACAATTTTAAACTTTTTAACCATTTTATGAACTATTTTTAATCATGTTCCTTTTTGGATTATATTATGATATTTCTTAATTACCATTTTAATCTATCACACACTCCCCTACAAAAATAAATGTCATCTCCACATTACCATTCTCTTTCAACACGAGTCTTTCAGTCCCTTTTGTGTTTCACACAAATTTTGTAAGTGTTCTTGTAACTGTTCAGCATTTTAACATCCATGTCCACAACAGTACATGATTGTCCTGAACTTGATAGTTCACTTTTTATATCAAAGCCAAAACAGTCTATAATTTTCTCAAAGTGCAAAAATTTAAAGAGGCATAAAACGACAGTCCATCTTTTTGGAGTTCAAGAGTCCAACAATTTCTAGAGTTGGGTACGGAAACCCTGTGCCAATATGGCACTGGTACCTATAAAGAAAGGAAAAGGAAAGGACGTAACGTGTACAAGTTTGGTGTCCCATACTCAAAATTAGTGCTCTGCATTTGACTCATCCAAGCGCACACACACACAGCAGTGAGTAGTGGACACACACCAGGAGCCATGGGTAGCAATTTTTGCTGCGGTGCAGTTGGGGATTCGGTGCCTTGCTTGAGGGTCTCACCTCAGTTGTGGTATTGAGTGTGGAAGAGAGCGCCCCCACCTACATTCCCTGCCAGTACAGAGACTTGAACCCATGACCTTTGAGTTACAAGTTCAACTCTCTAACCATATGGCCACGACTGCCCCACTATATAACTGGTATGTACTAGAACCAAATCAGAATGGAGATTTCGGTGCCACTTAAATGCCTGAGCGATTGATTGAAATAATTGTTCTGTGGTTCTCTAAAACGGAAGTAAGAAGCATCATTACTGGCACCACACATGAAAAATAATTCCCCGACTGAGAAAGTGCATTCTCAGTGAGTTCGAAATGCATGTGAACAACTTAAAATTTAAAATGAGACCATCCAAGAAGGGTGTGAATGCAGCAATTACACTTGCTATGACAGCAGCAGGTAGCCTACCATTAGCTAGCTAAGCTAAGCTGAACACACTTAAATTAAAATTCCTAAAGTTAAACTTCCATATTAATTACTTGCAATGAGAAGCGTTTCTAAACTGGTTGTCCAACAAAAGAGAACGTAACGTTTTTACTCCACAATACCAGTCAAATGCTTCCTTTTGTGATCTGATGTGGCTTCTTTTCACAGAATGAGGCAGAAAATATGTTCTATACTGCAAAAAGGCTATGACGATTAGCAATGGATGATAAATATACTTATTCATCCTTAAGTATTATGAAAATAGAGATGGCTTGAATAACACAGACAGAGAATACAATTTGTCGCAGTCAAGTGTTATTGTCTTTGTTTTATCATTCAAAATGTTTATATCTTCTGTTTACTCTGTTACAACAGTAGCAATACCTTTGTTCAAATGAGAGATTTCCTGGAGTGTCATCAGTTCTGTTACTTCTGTGATGCATATGTGGAGTTTTCGTGCGAGGGTGCCTGGTACCATTTTAAAAGTATCGACTGGCACCAGTAACGTAAAAAACCAAAATGATACACAACCCTAACAGCTTCTCAAGACTACAGTCCATAAGGCAAAAAGTCCATAGCATTATTAAAAATGTTAAAGTTCAAAGTCTGTTAAAGGTTTGGTAGGCTATTTCAGAAAGGATAGCAATAGCAAGCTAGCTTTGAAAGCAAGATCCCCACCCTCCCTACATAATCACTATGCAAAGCCACGCCTCCTCCAAAACACATGAACGTGCTGAGGCAGACCAGAGACTAACCAGCGACACGATGAGAGACGGCGTTGGTGGACAGTTGAATGCAACAATGTCAGATTACCTCATGTCTCATTCACCTCTGAGAAAACCTTACAGTACAAAGCTCATATTACAATAATAGCACCTTTCATTCTCACTGGAACATGCTGATGACGTATCATGTCTGTGTAAAGGGTGGGCAGAGGTATGCAAATACATATTTTGATAGGCAGGCAGGGCAGCCTATTGTAATGTTCGGACCGAACATTTTGATTGGATGAACATTTTATGGTCCTACAACTTCCACAGACAATATAAATACACATAAATACGTATAGACCACTAAACTTAGTGATTGCTATCGGGATGTGAAGAGACTTTCAACCAGTATAACAAAACATTTTTTTGAGCCAAATCACCTATCCTGCCTTTAAAGGAGATATTCCTCAGACAAAACAGTCCATATTCCCTTTTTTCCAACATTTAAAAGTTTAAGGAATGTCCAGAGCAGTATTCCTAAAACAAAACAATCCATCACTTCTCCAGATGTCAGACTGTAAAAATGCAAAGAAACTTTTGGTTTCACTTAGTTAACAGTTAATGGCACCTGATTAGTGGACTCCATACACAAAAGAAAAATGATAACAGTATTGTTGAACAGGTGGCAACCATGTTGACAGTCCATGAGCAGACCCATACGTTAAGTTCTGTTGCAGTGACTCCAAGATTCCATTTGATTGTCCGACATTATAAGTAGGTATAATCAACTTATCGTAGGTGAGTACTCTTGGTGGGAGTGTTTCTTTCCTAGGCAGCTGGTAAGTTTGCTCTTCTTGACCCTCTTGGTCACTTTTGTAAGGATCCACCTAGATTTTCCCAAAGACGGAATCCAATTGGTGGGTGAAGGTATAGTGTGTTTAGGTCTTTTACTTGTGCTTCTGCCAAGTTCACTTAATTTATCAGGATTTAGTTTCAATTTTAGTCTAGCTCCGTGTTCAATCTGACTCCAATTTCAAGTGATAATTACATTTAGGCAATATTTCTAACTGAAAACTGA